AGAATCCCTGCCCTGCTCCTGCTGGCCACACCATTCCTGACCCAGGCCAGGTGCCATTGGCCTTCTTGGCCACGTGGCCACACTGCTGGCTCATGTCCAGCCTGCTGTCCATCAGCACCCCCAGGTCCCTTTCTGCCTGGCCACTGTCCAGCCACTCTGTCCCCAGCCTGTGGCACTGCAGGGGGTTCTTGTGGCCAAAGTGCAGGACCCGGCCCTTGGTCTTGTTAAACCTCCCATTGCTGGATTTGGGCCCTGGGTCCAGCCTGTCCAGGTCCCTCTGCAGAGCCCTCCTGCCCTCCAGCAGATCCACACTGACGCCCAGCTTGGTTTCATCTGCAAATTTGCTGACAGTGGACTCATTCCCCTCATCTAGATCATCAGTAAAGATGTGAAAGAGGACTGTGGCCACACTGAGCCCTGGGGGACACCAGCAGTTCCTGGCCATAAAATGATACGGCACCATCTCCACCACTCTCTGGGCCTGACAGTCCAGCCAGTTCTTAACCCACTGAAGGGTGACCCTGTCCTGTGGACTCCAGCTTTTCCAGGGAATGCTGTGTGAGATGGTGCCAAAGGATTTTCTGAAGTCCAGGTACAAACCATCCACAGTCTTCCCTCCATCCTTCCCTCCTCCAGGCCCTGGAAGAAAACTCTTTGTGGGCAGGCGCTGGGCAGGAGGCAACTGTGTGCCCTGGCAGCAGCCCTGCATTTCCCTGCTCCAGCCTCGCTCTSCAGCACAGCCATGGAGGCTCTTTGGGCTCTTGACTTTCCCTGCAGCCCCCAAGGCCGCTGAGCTCTGCCTTTCCCACACTCAGCCCTGCCCAGTACAGGCAATGCACAGAAATTCCTTGTCTGTCCCTGGCCTCGCTGTCCCCCTCGGCAGCGGCTCCGTGGCCCCTCTGTGCCCCTGCGCTGCCCCGGCCATGGTGCCACAGCCCCCCTGTGCAGKYCMAGCYCAGGCCAGGAGCATTCCGGKGGGAACGGCCCCTCTGCCGTGGTGCCACAGCAGCCCCTGGGGCTCGGGGCCCCCATGGCCTCCCTGCTGGGCAGCCTCTGCCAGCTCCTGCCCAGCCATGGCACCTGTGGGCCTTCCCAGACAGCC